CTCTGGGCTTCGCCCCCCTACCTCCTTTCAGTTATACTGCAGAGTCTAACCCATGACCTTCGGTACCACTTCGTTTCCATCATCCCCTTGTCCCCATTCGGACACCTTTGTTCCGATTCAGACCCCCTTTGATTTCCTTGTGCTTTCATCTCTCCACTATATACAGGCACTTGTACATACTCATTTTGGACCTTCAGTCTAAAATCAACCAGAAATGCCCCCTAGAGACTTCCTGCTCACTGCTTCTGAAATTAAGGACCAAATGGACAAACAGCAATGGCACAGCACTCCCCTTGAGTTGCTGAGGCCAAGGTCCCTCCTGGCTAAGTCTCCGGTTCCCCTCCAGAATCGTCCGCCCTTGCCCAGTTCTAACAGGAGTGAGTATTCTCACTTTGGCCATTCTTATGGCCTTTTTGTACCATTTTTCCAGGTACTCTTCTTGCTCCCCTGCCTTCTGTCAGGGCCCGGCCTTGGACTCGGAGGCTCCCTGACCTCAACCCCCATCTAACCTGTCCTCACACTATGTGGGGCATGAGATGAGAAGAAGGGTAAAGGTCTCATCTCCCTGCATGGTTGCTATATAAAGGAATGGGTCACATGCCCACAACTATACAGCTCCTAGAGTTGTAGTGTGACCCAGAGGGAACATCCAGGTGGCAGTGCCCAGTAAGTGTGGGAACATTCTGGGCAAGCAGAATTGTGGCTGTGACCTGTGGGAACATTCTGGGTGAGCTGCTCGCTCAGAAAGTTCCCACGCTATCCCATGCATGCATGTACACAACACACAAAGGCAACAACAAGGCAACAATCAAAGAATAAAGGGAGTAAAGTAGGTGGGGAGTCCGGGGCACCCTAAGGCAGGGTGCTGAACCCTGACACCTTTGCAGGGTCACTATCCAATGGAGATTTCTCCTTTGCAGGGTTTTTCGCTGGGAGAGACTGTTCTCTCAGCAGTTCTTTTGTTTCAGGTGGTTGCACCCAAGGCTGGATATAGATTCTCTCATTCCTTTGAGAGAGTGGGTTGTTACCTCTTTGTTGAAGAGGTTCATCAGTAAAGGATGTTTGGCCAAACCTTTGGTACATTGAAAGAGGGCTCACAGCTCTCTATGCCAACTAAGCTCATGGGGCCAAACTCTCCCTAAACTCCTACTCTCTCTCTTAACTCGATCCTTAACTCTGTGGTGGGTTCTCCAGGATTTCTGCAAGGTCCGGGCTCAGCATCTACTACTCACTTGTTGTGAGTTAGACCACTGCCCTTATTCCTACTGTTGGAATTCCACACACTCACTCCAACTCTAGCACATCCTAGCACCTTAGAGAAATTGGGGGAGGGGAGAATGTCAAGCACACGCTGAAGGAGAGAATGAAGGAAGGTCAGTTGGGAGGTTCAAATGAGACCACCACCAAGCTGTTCCCTGGTTCTTTAGTTAGGATGGGGAAGTGTACTAGTGTTATTTATTGTAAATATAGTACCAATCCGAGTGTTTTGGCTAATTCTATTTTTATGGGTTAGTTTTAAAGTTCCTGGGAATTGACTCACAGATAAACCGAGCCCTGCGGAGCTGTTTATTTCTTAATTTGTCTAGGTGTAATTCTGTGTAGCGTTGTTTAATTTGGATTTAATCTTCTACTTGGTGAAGTTTCAAAGATTCTAATCAGTTAATGGATTTGGATTGTGTCTGGAGTGTCCCTTGAGTTTGTTTTCTCTCCTGTTGAAATATCTACTTAATATTTCTCTCCTTTATTGCTGCCTTTTACTACAGTGGCAATCTTAACTGTATATCACTTTTTCGCACTGGAGTGACAACCAGAAATGCTTGAGAAAAATAATACTCTATTTTCTTACTTCTCTAAGGGGGGCGAAAAGTCACAGAAAGGGTCTCCCTTTTATACTCCTTGGGTCGCCTTCCTTTTTCACGCTCTACCTTCTATTTACAGGATTTATTTACAGTGTATTTTTCTCAAACTGAATAAAAAATGAAATTTTCATGCTATAGTTCTACTGCGCTTGTGCTGCACTGAACTGCGGTTCTACTGTGGTCAGACTGCGCCTAGAATTCTTATTGTCCTCCCTTGCCTAAGCTATTTTAATGGTTAATTGGAACTTGGCTGTGCTGTATTTGTCGCAGTTACCTATTTCAAATTCCCTATATATACCATTAAATTTGCTATGACTCGATGATTCTGAATTCAAACTTCGCATTACTGGCTGTGCTGAGACCTTCAGCTGATTTATTCCAATTTTTATTTAGTGACATTTAGTTAAAATGAGACTGAAATGATAAATGAGTGAATTATTCAGGTTTAAAACTGAAAGAAAAAGTTGCTAGTAGTCAAGAATTACTCAAACGAATGTGTTATAGCTCTCCACTTCATTAGAACATCGTTCCCTAAAATTCCTGCCATGGTCCGTCGTAGTTTAGTGGTTTTCGTGAATTTCGTTCATATTCCCTGATTCCCCTTTGTATTATCACATCCTAATCCTCCATATGTATTGTTTGTTGTTATAGTAGGTTGTCCTTGAAGATATCATATTTTTATCTATTTTATTTAGGACTCTGGACCTCTTGAAGCTGTCTTCCCACTGTCATATCCGTGCATACCCGACCCCGACCCGACTTCCGGACCTCCACCCTCTTCACCTCCGGAGTCATAACCTACCGCTGCCATTCCGATACTCACCTTCGTTCCTGGCAACACACCTCCTTCTACCCCCCCACGCCACCTCTACTCCTCCCTTCCTCTCCTACCCTATCTCCGTCCACTCCAATACTCACCTCGGACCGAACACCACCCCTCTCACCACCCTCCTACTCCACTCCCCCTCCACAACACCTCCACCCTCCCGTCATCCTCCTATGCTTCCCCTGTCCGCTCCGATACTCACCTTCGGACCTGACAACCCTCCTCTCCGCCACTCCTTCCCCTTACCTTTCCCCTCTCTCCTCCCTCTGGTACTCCTCCGCCACCCTTCCGCCAAGTTACGACCTTCAACCGCTGTCCCATACTTCCTACTCGGACACCGCTCGTACCTTCGCTCCGAGCCTCTGTCATAGTCCCGACCTCGGACTTTGACTCCACCTCGGTCTTAGTCCATTGAATTGGTGACCTCATACTACGTAAACACCATTGCCAATATCCCTCGGACTTTCAACCCCGCCTCCGTAACCTCCGTAACCTCCGCAACCTCCGAGCTTTGCAGATCGCCTTCAGCACTTTCGCCGCCTGTAATGTATCTCTCGCGTTTACCCCTCATCCTTATTTGGACTGCTGCTTCTCTCCATTCTAGCCAGTTAGTCATCATCCCCACTTCACCTCATCCTCCTGCCCCTCTGGGCTTTGCCCTCCCTATCTCCTTTCGGATGTACCACAGGTTCTGACCTATGACCTTTAGTGCCGCTCCGCTTCTGTCATCCCTTTGTTCCTGTTCAGACACCTTTGTTCTGATTTGGACCCCTTGATTTCCTTGTGCTTTCGTCTCCCTATTATATACAGGCACTTGTACATACTCATTTTGGACCTTCAGTCTAAAATCGACCTGAAATGCCCCCTAGTGTCATATCCATCCCTGGCCATCGACTTCCGTTCCCTCCGATCCCTCCGGTCTACCTCCACTCCTTCCTCACTAACCTCGGAGCTCCCGTATTCCACAATCCTCTCGGTACCCCTCAATGGTCACCACCCCCTCCTTTCAATTTATTACCAATGCCTCCCTAAGTACGGAGCCCTGAAGACTTCCGGACAGCTCTGATGTCTGCTAGCACACTCCCGTCTCCGCTGGGCAATACACTCGCCTGCCCTGCAGAGCCCACCTTCGGGCCTATCCCTCCTTTCCGTTTCTGGGTTATCACCTGCCTTTCCGTTAACCCCGTGACCTGACTTGTCGGTAATATTCAGTCGGCTAATGTTTAACCCCGTTAGTTCCGCTCCGTTCGGCTCCACCAATTGCGGACCCATCTTCGCTGTAACCATATATATATCCAACTTGTACATAGGTTACACTCCAGTAATAAAATCAACTAGAGTTACCCCCCTTCAGTTCTGATTGCCAGTCAGTAAGTTAGGGCACGGACATGTCACTAGGCACAGCGCTCTTGGCATAAGTCGCTGAGGCCAAAGCCCTCCGCCACGGAGACTCTCCCTCGTCTCGAATCTGGTCTCTGACACCTAGAGACTTCCTGCTCACTACTTCTGAAATTAAGGACCAAATGGACAAACAGCAATGGCACAGCACTCTGTATGAGTCGCTGAGGCCAAGGTCCCTCCTGTTAGAACAGGGCAGATGCAGACGACTCTGGAGTGGAATCGGAGACTTAGCGTGGAGGGACCTTGGCCTCAGTGACTCAAGCAGAGCGCTGTGCCATTGCTGTTTGTCCATTTGGTCCTTAATTTCACAGTAGGTGAGCAGGAAGTCTCTAGGGGGCATTTCAGGTCGATTTCGGACTGAACCAAAATGAGTATGTACAAGCGCCGATATATATAATGGAGGGGGAAAAAGCACAAGGAAACAATGGGAAACCGAATCGGAATGAAGACGTCCGAACGGGAACAAAGGGTAAAAGAAGCGGAGCGGTACCGAAGGTCATAAGGCAGGACCTGTGATACGTCCGAAAGGAGGTAGGGGGGGCAAGGCCCAGAGGGGCAGGAGGATGGGGAGAAGTGGGGGTGATGACTAACTGGCTAGAATGGGAAGAAGCAGTAGTCCAAATAGGGATGAGGGGAAAATGCGAGAGATACATTACAAGCGGCGAAAGTGCCGAAGGCGATCCGCAAAGCTCAGAGGTTGTGGAGCTTATGGAGGTTACAGAGGCGGGGTTGAAAGTCCAAGGAATATTGGCAATGGTGTTTATGTAGTATGAGGTCACCAATGCAATGGACTAAGACCGAGGTGGAGTCAAAGTCTGAGGTAGGGACTATGATGGAGGCTCAGAGCAAAGGTACGAACGGTGTCCGAGTACGAAGTACAGGACAGCAGTGGAAGGTCGTAACTTGGCGGGAGGTCAGCGGAAGAGTACCAGAGGGAGGAGAGAGGTAAGGGAGAAGGAGTGGCGGAAACGAGAGTTGTCAGGTCCGAAGGTGAGTATCGGAGCGGACGGGGGAAGTGTAGGAGGATGACGGGAGGGTGGAGGTGTTGTGAAGGAGGAGCGGAGTAGGAGGGTGGCGAGAGGGGCGGTGTTTGGTCCGAGGTGAGTATTGGAGCGGATGGAGATAGGGGAGGAGAGGGAAGGAGGTGTAGAGGTGGCATGGGGGGTAGAAGGAGGTGTGTTGCCAGGACCAAAGGTGAGTATCGGAATGGCAGCAGTAGGGTATGACTCCGGAGGTGAAGTGGGTGGAGGTCTGGAAGTCGGGTCCGGGTTGGGGTTGGGTATGCACGGATATGACACATATTATCTTTGCACTTCTGCATCCTTAGGAGAACAAAATCATTTATATATTTAATTTTCTCCACCCAATGTATAGAGGTGCACAGCAAAAAGACTCAATTTGCTCACAGAGCTCCTTACCAAGTTTGCTGATGTCAGTCACATGTCACAATGAGACTTTAAATGAATGTATTGACAACTGGTTCCCACAGGATCCAGGAGTTGCCAGAAACAGCAAATCAATTCAGTTTTAATTGAGTTCAAGATTCTCATGTGATGTGTGGCACATGTCACACTGAGGGATGAATTATGCAAGAAGGGGATGGCAATCCCCAAAAACCATGGTAATGAACCTATTGTCATAATAGTACAGTAATAGAGGCATACATTGAGTGGATCTAAATAGCATCATTCCCTTCATGAACAACATCCAGTGTCAAACCATTACATCTGGTGTTCATTCTGTAAATCAGTCCATGAGTATTTGGAAAAGCAGGTCCCTTACTGAACATCTAACAATAGGATGTCCCTGCCAACTCTGCATCCATCTGCACTTGATTCTGGCAATGATTGATGCTTGTTGAGCAGATGGGGCAGAGAGGACCATTGAAGCATCTGAATGCTGTGGAGTATCCCAGCTTCTTTGGTCATAATACCTTTCCTATTGAAAGTGTTCTGCAATGTGACAGCAGATGACACACCAATAAGGAGTGCAGAAAGACAGCCAAAATAAAGCGGAATGGTGTGGATAGTGAAACGTGCAGATAGCACTTGTTTTGAACCATAAACTATGGCTTGAAGAGGTTTCCAAGAAAGACTGTCAATTGGAGCCTGGCTTTCATACTCCATTTGCCAATATCGGTCAAGCATTGCTACATATGCTGCAGTGAACAGACTAAGTTGTTCACTGAGTTTGGACATTCCATGTTGGGCAGCATATGCTCCAATATACATTGAGTCCTCTGACAAGGGGAGACCTAGCCAGTGATATGTGAGGACATCAAGTAATGGGTATATTAGACTGTTCCAATTCTTTTCAATGATGTGAGTTGGCTCTCCTGATCGAGCATAGCCTGGTGGTGGTTCAGGTATTTCTGCCACCACTGGGATGAACGACTCCAACTTATTTGAAGTCACCACAGCTGTACCATTGAGAATGTGGAGTGCACACATGATCGGCCAAAGGTACATGGTGGCATTCACTGGTTCCAGTTTTCTTGTGTCATGGATATAGTGGTATAGTTCATCTGATGCTGTTGGAGGGGAATTATAAGTGCCTGGAGCATGGATGCTATGATTTTGAACATATGTCCACATTTGTGTCTGAATGGTTAGACTATATGAGCCCCACAGGGGTGCTCCACCTGTCAGAGACCAGGTTGAGATGAAGGAGTGTCTCTGTAGCGGAGGGCTTCAGCCTCAGCAATTTGTGCCAGGAGCACTGTGCCAAGTAACACGTCCATGCCCTAACTTACTAACTGGCAACCAGAACTGAAGGGGGTAAACTCTAGTCGATTTTATTACTGAAGCGTAACCTATGTACAAGTTGGATATATATATAGTTACAGCGAAGATGGGTCCGCAAATGGCGGAGCCAAGCGGAGTGGAGCTAACGGGGTTAGACATTAGCTGACTGAATGTTACCGACGAGTCGGGTTACGGGGTTAACGGAAAGGCAGGTGATAACCCAGAAATGGAAAGGAGGGATAGGCCTGAAGGTGGGCTCTGCAGGGCAGGCAAGTGTATTGCCCAGTGGAGGCGGGAGTGCGCTAGCGGACATCGGAGCTGTCCGGAAGTCTTCGGGGCTCCATACTTAGGGAGGCATAGGTAATAAATTGAAAGGAGGGGGTGGTGACCATCGAGGGGTACCGAGGGGATCATGGAATATGGGAGCTCCAAGGTTGGTGAAGAAGGAGCAGAGGTAGACTGGAGGGATCGGAGGGATCGGAAGTCGTTGGCCAGGGATGGATATGACACCACCCTCTACAAGGGCATGTGGACTCCCTGAGATGAAAACCATGGGAAATACTCCAGTATGGGAAGATTGAGATTGAGATGGCTCGAGTGAGGCAAGAATATCTGGAACTAAGGGAATTTGGCAAATTGTCCTGGCTGGTGATTGGACCCATACTTACCAGGGAAGACTGGGGTAGATGACTCATTCTCTTTTTGACTTGTTGGTTGTTCAAGCAAAAAATCAAGGCCTGGGGGCCCCCAAGTATACACCATGCTTGAACCAGGGTACAGGTTAACACAAGTAGTCAAATTCATGGACAGGGAGTAGTGGCTGGTATCATTATCCTGGGCATCTGAAAAATCAGTTACAAAGAGGCATTATACATCTCACTTACCATAAGCCACAAATTACCAGTGTATGGATTCTCTTCTGATTGAGGAATTACATTGCATGACACATTGTACTGTGTTGCAAATGGATCATGGAAGGTTCCCCCTTCATATTCTGGTGATTTGAGAGTACCAAAAAGGATACTGTGAAAATTACTGTATGATGTTCCATGAAAGGATGAGGGGCTTACATTTGATTCCAGCCAAGTATATTATTGACACCAAATCCACTGTAGCCCAGTACACATGGAGTGGCTTCAAGAACATCCACTATGTCATTGGTGGGCTGCAAAGAGAATGATAGATTACTCCAGAGACCTGGGATTCGGTCAACTGTAAAATGTGTTGGGATTGAAGCATTGAATGCTTCTGTTGTCACAATAGTTGGTGTGGCAATGTGTGTGATCATAATTCCAAAAAAGAATCCAAAGACACACATTAGATTGAGTTGATGAAGGACTGATGTTGGAGCCAGCACCAGGGAGCAGGGCCCTTGATGCCAGGCCCTCAGAGTGCAATGCAATGCTCCTAAGGGCATTTCTAGAGGTGGGGTGATTGTGTGGTCAGTCTAGTGCACAAGAAATGGCTTGGGAAAATCATCATACTTTCCCTCAGTGAGACATCACAGGCAAGTGATGAGACAGACAGAATGATTAATCCAGACACCATAACCACAAATCCCTCCTCATATGTCAGTAGAATTTGGTTCATCAGCCCCAAGTGCCTGATATTGAAGTAAAAATTATCCAAAACACAAGCCCTGGACAAAACCATGAGGCAGCCATGGAAAGCAATTAGCACAAGTATCCCTCCCATGCCTAATATCCACAAACTCCTTGCACAAGTGGAGCGAAGATGCTCAGCATTGGACAAGTTTGGTTGAGTCCAAACTTGATCAAATGGTTTATATGTAGCTTCAGCTCCTAATGATGGCTGTTGTCATATCCATCCCCAGCCATCGACTTCCGATCCCTCCGATCCCTCCAGTCTACCTCCGCTCCTTCTTCACTAACCTCGGAGCTCCCACATTCCGCAATCCCCTTGGTACCCCTCGATGGTCACCACCCCCTCCTTTCAATTTATTACCTACGCCTCCCTAAGTACAGAGCCCCAAAGACTTCCGGACAGCTCCGACGTCCGCTAGCACACTCCTGCCTCCACTGGGCAATACACTCACCTGCCCTGCAGAGCCCACCTTCGGGCCTATTCCTCCTTTCCATTTCTGGGTTATCGCCTGCCTTTCCGTTAACCCCGTAACCCGACTTGTCGGTAATATTCAGTTGGCTAATGTTTAACCCCATTAGTTCTGCTCCACCATTTGCGGACCCATCTTCACTGTAACTATATATATATCCAACTTGTACATAGGTTACATGTCAGAGACCAGATTCAAGACGAAGGAATGTCTCCGTAACGGAGGGCTTCAGCCTCAGCGACTTCTGCCAAGAGCACTGTGCCTAGTGACACGTCCGTGCCCTAACTTACTGACTGGCAATTAGAACCTAGGGGGGTAACTCTAGTTGATTTTTCTGCTGGGGCGTAACCTATGTACAAGTGGGATATATATATGGTTACAGCGGGGATGGGTCCGCAATTGGCGGAGCCGAACGGAGTGGAGCTAACGGGGTTTAAACATTAGCCGACTGAATATTACCGACGAGTCGGTTCGCAGGGTTAGCGGAAAGGCAGGCGTTAACCCAGAAACGGAAAGGAGGGATAGGCCCGAAGGTGGGCTCTGCAGGGCAGGCGAGTGTATTGCCCAGTGGAGGCGGGGGTGCGCTAGCAGACGTCGGAGCTGTCCGGAAGTCCTCGGGGCTCCATTCTTAGGGAGGCATAGGTAATAAATTGGAATGAGGGGGTGGTGACCATCGAGGGGTACCGAGAGGATTGCGGAATACGGGGGCTCCAAGGTTAGTGAGGGATGAGCGGAGTTGGACCGGAGGGATCGGAGGAACCGGAAGTCGATGGCCAGGGATGGATATGACATTACACTTCAGTAATAAAATCGACTAGAGTTTACCCCCTGCAGTTCTGGTTGCCAGTTAGTAAGTTAGGGCATGGACGTGTTACTTGGCCAGTAACTTGCAAAAAGTGTAATGGTGGTTCATGAACCATCATGGAAGTCATGACATTTCATGAATGGTCACCAAACTTCATGAAGCAGCATGAAGTGTCATACACAGTCATGCTGGTTCATGACAAACCATCATGGAATTTCATGAGATGTCATGAACCTGCATGGGGGGTCATGATTGCTCATGACTTAAGTGGTTCCAGGCAGGTTTTGAGTGGTTACATGCCTGTCTATGAAGTGTCATGAAGTGTCATGAGCCTTCATAAAGGATCATGGACCCTCATGGACCTTCATGAATCACTATGAGTCTTCCCAAGAATCATTGTGATTGATCATAAATTAGGATTGTTGGTACAACAATGACAGTTGGGGGCATAATGGTTAATTACATGTTACCCTTAAGTTGAAAGTGATATGAAAGCATCACACAAGAGGGGGTTGCTCTAGTTGATTTCAGACTAAGGTCCCTGAAAGTATTTACAAGGTATAAATAAGGGAGAGAAATCATGGGAAGGGCCAGTCAGTCCAGTGCAGAAATGAGTGGGGATTATCAAAGACAAGAATCCAGGTGAAGAATGAATATGTAAAATATTGACACTTGATCTGCTACTATATTGGCACCCAGGTTGTCAGTTGCCTCCCTACTTTGCCTCTTTGTTTAATTGTTCATTCCACTCTCATTCATTCTCTCACTCTCTGTCTCCCTGGTTCTCATCCCTCATTTAGTTTGTCATGTTCACCACTCTGCCTCCCATTCAGGTGCCAGACTGACCAGCCCCTCTTCTGTTCTCCCTTTCATATTTATGCATTGTAGATAGTATACTACCTATGTACCCCAGTTTGAATGTCAACTAGAATACCCCCCAAGTCCTCTTGTCCATAGTTGTCAGGGACAGCTCTAAAAGTGGCAAAGTCCCAGCATGGGGGACTCGATGGGATGAGTAGTGGCTATGCATAGCAGTGGTCCTGTCATGGGGTGAGCATCCCTGACCACTTAGTCTGAAGTGGGAAAGTGAGAAGAAGGCTACTTCTTCTGTTCCCACCCCAGGTGCTGTTATATACATGTGGCTGAGGTCACATGGAAGGAGCCATGCCATCTCTGCACACAGCTGCACCCCTCTGGGTGTCTCTGCAGGAGATCCTGGGGGTGGCCACTGTGTGGGTGGGAATGTGTGCAGTGGGTGTGGCAATAGGGGCAGTGGCATTAGGGTGTAGTGGTACAGGAGGGGTGTGCAGCATTCCCAGGTATGTGGGCGTGCCAGTGGTACATAGAGAAAGAGGAAAAAGGAAAGGTGAGGGGGAAGGTGGGATAGGAGGAGCAAGAAGCAAGGGCAGGGGAAGTGGAGTAGGGTGGCATGGTGCAGCGTGGGGTCAGGCAGGGTATGCCCTGACAACAGTTCACCTCTGACTTTGTCTTCACTTGAGCCTACATTGCCACCAGGTTCCCTCCACTACACCTGAACACAGGATAGCCTAGAGCATGTGGCACAATGCTCCCACTGAGTTGTTGAAACCAACATCCCAACTGTTACAAAAATGGGGCCGGAGGCGCCCATTTTCGTCCGTTCTGGCGCAGGAATAGGGAAGGGGGTTGGACATAATGGTTTACAGGTGGTTTCACAGGTGGTTTCACATGTGGTGTAACAGATGTTAGCACAGCGGGTTTTTTGGTTGTAATTGATTCGATAAACTATATTACTATATAAATCACATGATACAGAACCCATAAGAGTCTAAAATGGAAATTCCCATTTCCATAACACCAACCCCCTGATGCCTTGCAATGGAGTAACCTATCAGCTAAGTGATCACTCACACTGCCATACTCTGCTCCACTTCCCACGAATACCCTCAAGCACTGTTTCTGACACCAAGCAGCAAAGGTGGCTGGAGGAAAAGCGGAGTTCAGTGCAGTGCCGACACAAGTCCATGAGTTGGAGGTTGATCAGTCAGTGCTGTCACAAATAAGGTCTGTCACATGACAGTTCATAAGTGCTTGTGACATCTCATGCATTGACTCATCATACATGTTCATGGAGCATTGTGAATGTCCATGATGCATCATGGGACATTATAGCATTTTACATGATGGGGAAAGGTCAAAATAAACATATGACACTCCATGACACTCCATGAACCTTCATGACAGGTCATGAAAGGTCATGAAGGTTCATGAACATCATGACCACTCATGAACCTCCATGAGGCATCATGTCATATTGTGTCACCAGCAGTCATGAACCTTGTCAGCACATGACAATTCATGACAATTTGTCATGAACTGTCATGAAATCCAAAATTTTCAATGTAAAAAATGTCTGATTCAATTCAATTGTCATGACATGTCATGAGGGGTCATGAAATTTCGTGACATGTCATGACTCCTCATGATTTCATGATGCAGGATTACACTTTTGGAGAGTACCTCTACTTGGCACAGCGCTCCTGGCATAAGTCGCTGAGGCCAAAGCCCTCCGCCATGGAGACTTTCCTTTGTCTCAACCTGGTCTCTGACAGCTGTGAAAAGCCTTTCAGAGTGCATTGGAGGGTGAAATTCAAAGATATCACTTACAAACATGGATTGAGATTGGAGGGAGAGACCTCCTTCTGAATACCTGCCCCTAGTAAGGTCATGCTAGATATATGCAGGTGAAACTCACACACTCACTTAATAATAGTATTGTTTATATAGTCATAGTCCAAGAGACCCTTGTGCCGAGAGCAGCAATGTGGCACAGCACTGGCACTGGACTGAGACCCAGCAAGTAAAGATATCATGTTGAGAAGGCTGCCATCATGAATCACCTGCTGCTGTTGTGTATCTTCCACCACAGCTCTCATCACAATGAATGCATCCCAGATGATGAAGAAAGAGACAAACATAACGCACCCAGAAAGTGTAGTGACAATGATTAGTGGGAAATAGGCAACTTGGGCAATGGCTTGGTCAGACTGGTGTGTTCCAGTTGTATTGAAGTAGATAGGTGACCAAGCTCCATCCACCATGCCAGGATCATGGAGCAGTGCCCTTCGCCAATACATAATATGAAGACTATACAAGAGGGCAGAATATGAGCTGAGTTGGGCCTCCAATCCTGAGAGGCTCAAAGACTGGTTCTGGGGGATCATTGAAGTTGAGGTGAGAGCCAAAAGTGCAGTCTGCAGCAGAGGTTGCATAGCCCTCAGCACTGCATAACCATTTATTTGAAGCAGGAGGGGGGGTTGATGTATTGTATAGAGGCTTTCTATGTAGTAGGCCTTGTACAGCATGTAGCCAAAATATTTTTCCACCTGGTTCACTGGATTTGACTTGCGCTCAAAAGGCATGTTGATGAACTTCGGTTGGGAGTTGTATCCATGTTTACCCAGGATTTCCAGCAGTTTGTGGTCAGACCCTGACACATGTGTTGTTAGATTTTGGGTGTACATTGCACATCCAATTGGCCATATATTGAATGTTATGTTGATGGGTTCCAAGGTGATATTGGGCTTGCCTTGGTGAGGGGGGGAGAGTCAGCACCATGTCACCCATATAATGGAATGACACACTCAAATTAGCAGTTGTCACAGATGTATAAACTTGGACCTCTTTTGTGAGATGCACAGGGGAGCCTTGCCTTCCATCACCCAAGGTGTAATCCTTTGTGGTCACAAGTGCTATTGCAAAAGTACTGGTTTGATTGATTGAATTATCTTGGGGATACAAAACTAAAAGTGTGTCATTAACTTGATGGTCCAAACATTCATTAGATGTTAGAAGAATGTGATTAAGGACACAGATACAAAAGTGAAACACTTACTCCCGAATTGGGGTGGTGCAGATGAAGTTCGATTCATCAAACCCACAATGTTCACAGGTTCACTATAGAGCAGTGCAGTACCAGGAAGATGAGTAAACTTGGGATACACTTGGAATACTATAGTTCCACAGTCTGGATAATCTTCTATTGGCACTGCAAAACCACAGGTGAAAATTGATCAGACATCTGAACATCAATCAACATACCTGGATAGTAGGAAAAATTAAAAGAATCACCAGAAGCATGAGGAATGATTCCACATCTTGCACTCAAGTTGAGAGCAGTGTGATCTTCAAACTCCACACCTTCCAATTTTTGATCCATTGTACCAAAAAGAATTCTGAGGAACATCTAAGCAAATAGTGGCTTAAAAACAACAGGGATACATCATACATATCATTTACTCCAACAAGGTCTCCAACAACAATGTATCCCATCTGCTTGTATAGATAATCAACCACACCAAATGGCAGAATCTCATTGATAGAGGAACCCAAAGGAGAAATGATGTTGCCTGGCATGGAGTTGACAGTTACAGGTATCCCCCATTTCATGGTTACCACCTTCATTGAGAATAAAGAGGGTGTGGCTATTTGGAACATGAAAATAGAGCTGTAAAACAAGAGAACACAAAATAATTGAAGGCTGACAGGAAAGGTGTGGTTTTTACTCTGCCAGGCAGCACAAAGTGATGACCCAAGGCCTTGCCAGGCTTCAACATTGTCATGAAGTACAAGAAGTGCCTGACCTGGGACATTGTATCAAAATCTGCTTCACAGAAATGCACAGAACTCACATTGCTGTATTGTAGCATTGACTGCAATTGCTGGGATTCCATATGAAAGCAATGCAAGGAGAGCTGTGACAACAAGTTGTGACACAAATGAGAAAATTTGTGTTGCAGTTTTGATGTGCTCAACACCAAATTTATGATGTTCCAGAAAGGAAGAGAAGGCCAAGAAGTCAAGGACACTGAGGAAAGCCAATAGACCTCCAGAAGCAAGAGCACACACTATTGCATGAAGTCGTAGCGCCTTGGGAATGGCCATGTTTGTTGACATGTTCAACACCCAGAAGCAGCCTGAGATTGGTGAGGCTGCTCATAGCTCCAGACTTATAAAGGTGAGGACTGGAAAAGGGATCCTGCTGACCAGATGTTAATGATGTGATGATAGTGATGGTGAGAGCTTGAAGTGTAAGCCACATGGTGCAACAACAAATTGCAGGATTCAAGTGTGAAGGCCACCAGTGATTCCCAGTGTGGTATAGTTCAAAGCTTGTAATATATTGCCACCTGATCAGTGGAAATTTATGTGCTACTTTGGGTCTCTGTAGTAACCAAGCTGGTAGTACATTTGCTAGGCATAGACCATGCCCTGTGATGATTTCATTGCGGCATAAGGTGGTGGGCTCCATCAGCAATTTTTGATATCCTCACATACATACTGTCATATCCCGGAATCCTGACCCTGCGCACTCCCACCACACCACACCTTCCTAACAACTTCACCATCCCCTACACCATGCCTCCCCACTGCCCAAGTCACCTTCCTTCCTGACTGTCTCAGCTCCGGTCTGGTTGTGGCACACCAAACCTTGGCCACCCCCATCCTGGAAGCTCAGTCCCAAGTCGGAACATTCGGAGACTCCAGATTTGCTCCAATATCCCAACGGATCTCTGACATCCCGTGACATACCCTTAAACCATTTCTCCACCCATTTCATTTATTTGAGTCACCCAACATCCTTCGGATATGCAACTCCGCTTTCGGAGTTACCCGCATCCTTTGGTGATCTCACTCACGTCATCACTTATTAGTCACCTTCCATTCTTAGCACGACTATCTTCTTCTTACCATTCAGTCAGCTAACCCCCCTTACCCATTTCTCGTTCCCATTCATTTTCCGGCCTCTTACTCCGCCCTCCTTGGTCCAACACCTCGGTTCCCCGTTAACGATATTGTTCAGGACCTTTCGGTACCTCTCGGTGTCATTCGGCACCTTTCGGTGTTGTCCTATTGTCATTCGGACTTTGACTAAGTCCTTTCCATTCCCCTTTATAAATACCCATAGATTAGAACCTGTAGTTCCTCAGTTCTAATCTCGACTGAAATGCTACCCAAAGTCCCTCTGAGTGAATCCCGTTCCCATTCTACAAGATACCTCAGACATAAGAAATACAAGGACTAACTGAGACGTAACGGAGGCACAGCACTCCCTCCGAGTCGCTGAGGCTGCGTCCTTCTTAGAGCCTCTTGTACCATCCAGCAGAACCGGGCTTCCTGGAGAAGCTTCGGTCCACTACTGGAGCTCTCGGATCCCCCTCTAGTTGAGCCCCGCCTGCATTTGGACTCACGCATTTACCCCTACGATCCGGGTTTTTGACACATACAACTGCTCTGCACAAAAATTGATGTATGTTCAACTTGTGAAAACAGTAGATGATGGCCAGCTGCCCAGAGTTTATTGGCTGGCAACATGCATTCTTCAATGCACTTCCTTTATCCCAGCTGAAGGCTCCCTGGCCTGTATAAATCCTCAACTTGAAAGGTAATCTTACAAGGAGACTAGCACAACTACATGAAGGTGGCATTAATGTGCTGGTTGAAGATCTACCGACAGGGCATTGCATAATTGGGAATTGGACTGGTCATATGTCATGGCATGCCTCTGGGTGGCAGCATAAGTAGCATGGTGCCACATAGTACTTCTTCTTCTTCGCTTCTTGATCTCCAGTTTGATCCAGTCTGCAGCTGCTGGCTATGACACTGCATGATCTTCTATCATCTTTGATCCACTTCTACTGGTACTAGTTAGTTGCCTAGTTACCACCTCTACATGTGTACATAAGACCTTGCACTGGAGTGGGCATGTCCCCCAGCTTTGTTATCAACTAGGTTTCTGGGGCCTTCCTTGTTGCGAGCATGCATGACCCTGGCATCATACTCTGAATGAGTGAATGTTTTTTTTTTGATCTTGATACCACCAGCATCACAGAAAGAACTTCAGATGAAAATCAGAAGAGTGGGCAGTGAATTCACATACTAAAAACCTCCAGTTTGTTGCTGTCAGGATACATCAAGAGTGTGAAAATCCATGCAGAAATGAGCAAGATATGAGGAAATGACTGGAGGACGATGTGAAGCATGGGGAGAGATTATCAAGTAGAGGTTCCGTGGCACAGGCGTTAGATCTTGGAGGACCAGCATTGGGATGCTGTGAAGGTGCCACAATTTCAGAATTCCATTCCACTGCACTGACTCCAGGTCTCACATCATGACTGGAATTTGCGATGGAAGTGCAAGAAGGGGATGTGGGGTGTGAAGATGATCCAACACTATGTTTGAACATGACTTCAATCATCAATGAGCTAAATAGTAAGAATCACAATACATACATGAAGTCAATGGCATGAATTATGTTATCCACTTTCCCCCCAAGCACAGCATCCATGGTGTAGCCATTGCCTACTAACCACTGGAGAATTTTTATAAGCCATGAGGACTGACTGAAATCTGATTTGCCAACTTCTGAATAGCCCCCAGCCATCCCATAGCCCAAACTCCAAAGTGCTGGTCAAGTCATGGATTAATTTCCCCTTCATGCATCTGCAGGCATTGCATATAATGATAAGGGGTGCATGATCAACAATTGTCCAAAAACTGAACCTGGACTCCCTCCAGGGGTGAAGGGTGGTTGTTTCACTGCATCATGAAGTCAAGATATATTTGTAAAGATTGCAGGGGGAGTTACTGGGGTAAGACTTGTGGAAGGACCTGGAACTGTCCTCACTTCTACTGGGGTGGTTCTGGAGTCAGAGATGACTCGGGAGCGAGTGGGGTTACTCTTCTTTGGTGTGTGTCAGGGCACGCCATGCCATGCTGCCCCCCTTTCTCTCTCTCCTTTCTTTCTTTCTTTCTTGATATGGACAACTCCCCTTTCCTTACACCTGTATCATGGATGCATCCAATGCCAGGCACCCCACACAGGTACCATGCTGTTGGATGTGCCATGCATTCCCACTTGTATCTTTCCTTTCTAATAATTGGGATTGCCCATGGAACCACCTGTGATAGTGTCAGGGTTCACCCTGCCTTAGGGTGCCCCGGACTCCCCACCTACTTTACTCCCTTTATTCTTTGATTGTTGCCTTGTTGTTGCCTTTGTGTGTTGTGTACATGTGTGCATGGGATAGCGTGGGAACTTTCTGAGCGAGCAGCTCACCCAGAACGTTCCCATGCTTACTGGGCACTGCCACCTGGATGTTCCCTCCGGGTCACACTACATAACTCTAGGAGCTGTATAGTTGTGGGCATGTGACCCATTCCTTTATATAGCAACCATGTGGGGTAGATGAGACCTTACCCTTCTTCTCATCTCATGCCCCACATAGTGTGAGGATAGGTCAGATAGGGGTTGAGGTCGGGGAGCCTCCAAGTCCGAGGCCGGGCCCTGACATGATGGCTGCAGCACTGAAGGACCCAGTTCTTGATTGGCTGAACCACCATGAATATGCTTAGCTCTGAACTTCCGCACACCACCACCATCTCATGACCAAGCACACTGCTGCAGAGCTGAAGTATCTCATCATCCAAATGTCCAAAACCCCCTCTATCCAGGAGTCCGCACAGGCTACCCGTCTCAGAAATCGTACAGTGCATCATATTCTCTCAACTCGCAGGCAAAGGCATGTTCAGGCAAGATACAGGTCAGCATCATCCTGCAGAACAGCTTGTTTTTGTGGCTGCAACCATAACACCTCACATTCTCATGGGAGGGCACCACCTGGTGACTGAGCATGCCATCAGGACTTCTTTGTGTGAGGCACTAAGTATGTGAATCCATGTTTCAGTCCTAAGTCCCATTCTCAAGTACTCTATTCTCCCTACTCTCAACGTTGAGGCCATACTCCATGTCAATGTTCAGGAGGGAGCAGCTAGGCTCCATGATTTCCTTCCATCTCTCCTCACATGAATCTGTTCCCCCTTGGTCTCTTCCCATTATGCACAACCTGCCAACTGTAAGGTCGGTGTAGGTGCCGACCTTGGTGCCTCTTCAGTCCTCAGGTCAGTTGATATCTAGGTTGTACAGAACTTAGTATTCAACTTGGTGTGGAGAAGAGTAAAGTTTTCTTTACCCAACTCCGCACCATACATATGTAAATATACAAAAGTACAACAAGGAATAATAAAGGAATAATGTAATCACCACCCCTTCCTTACACCAACCCACAAACCCAACAAGCTTGAGCAAACATGTGCTGACCAGCACATATGTTTTGTGTCAAAAACCCATGATGCAAAGGGGGTAAATGCGTGAGTCCGAATGCAGGCGGGGCTCAACTAGAGGGGGGTCCGAGGTCTCCGGTAGTGAACCGAAGCTTCTCAGGGAGCCCGGTTCTGCTGGATGGTACAAGAGGCTCTAAGAAGGACGCGGCCTCAGCGACTCGGAGGGAGTGCTGTGCCTCCGTTACGTCTCAGTTAGTCCTTGTATTTCTTATGTCTGAGGTATCTTGTAGAACGGGAGCGGAATTCACTCAGAGGGACTTTGGGTGGCATTTTAGTCGAGATTAGAACTGAGGAACTACAGGTTCTAATCTATGGGTATTTATAAAGGGGGATGCAAAGTCCAAACCGACAAATGGGAAAACACCGAAAGGTACCGAATGATACCGAGAGGTCCCGAAAGGTCCCGAACGATATTAGAACGGGGAACTGAGGTGTCGGGCCAAGGAGGGCGGAGTTGAAGGCCAGAAAATGAATGTGGAAGACAAATGGACAAAGGGGGTTAGCCGACTGAATGGAAGGAAGAAGGTAGTCATGCTAAGAATAGAAGGTGACTAATAAGTGATAACGTGAGGGAGATCACCGAAGGATGCGGGTAGCTCCGAAAGCGGAGTTGTGTATCCGAAGGATGTTAGGTGACTCAAATAAATGAAATGGGTGGAGGAGAGGTTTAAGGGCATGTCACGGGATGTCGGAGGTCCGTCGGGATATCGGAGCAAATCCGGGGTCTCCGAATGTTCCGACTCGGGACCGAGGTTCCGGGATGGGAGTGGCCAAGGATCGGTGTGCCGCAACCAGACCGGAGCTGAGACAATCAGGAGGGAAGGTGACTTGGGGAGTGGGGAAGGCATGGTGTAGGGGATGGTGAAGTTGTTAGGAAGGTGTGGTGTGGTGGGAGTGTGCGGGGTCGGGATTCCGGGATATGACATTTTGTGGCCAAAGCTCGTGTTTGTCATATCCATCCATGGCCATCATCTTCCACTACCTCCAATCCTTCCGGACTACCTCCGCTCCTTCTTCACTAACCTCGGAGCTTCCGTACTCCGCAATCACCTCCGCCTCCCTCGATGGTGTCAGGGCACATACCCTGACTTAGCCTGGACCCGGACCCGCGTCCGGACCCGCTCCACTTCCCGCGCACTTCCTGCGCCGCATGCTCCGTGCGCCGCATGATCCGACCCCGGATCCCACCTCATGTGACTTCCGGGTATCCCCGGAAGTTTTCGCCATATTGGGGCCACTGTGGGAAAGTGAGAAGTTAACCTTCTTCTCACTTTCTTACCCACAGTAGGCAAGTGTATCTACTTGCCCCTTTGTTTATATCACTTTCTTACCCACAGTAGCTCTTTGCCTTGAGACTAGGCTGTTACGGGTTGGGCTGTGGGCTATAGAGAGAGGGGTCATGGGGACCCAGGGTCCGTCCCCTGACAGATGGTCACCACCCCCTCTTTTCAATATATTACCTATGCCTCCCTAAGTACAGAGCCCCGAAGGCTTCCAGACAGCTCCGACGTCCGCTAGCACACTCCTGCCTCCGCTGGGCAATGTCATGGCCATGCATTCCGGCCCGTTCCCCACCTGTCCCGATGCCGCCCGAGCCCGTTACCACTATGCGAGCGTGAGCGCGAGCCCTGACCTCAGCCCTATCCTCCATGAGGACTCCCTGCTCACTCCCCCGCTTTCCCCTAGGCTCCCCTGCACCTGGCCGACTTCCCCACAGCCACACCAACCTTCCCACCCTGAGTCCGCCTCCGGCACCGTGCCCAGCATGACTCCTCTACCCCACCCACTTGGCCCCTACAGGGCTGCTATCATCCCCATGCCCAACTCCGGTCCAACTCCGAGTCCGGTGCCGCTACAATACCATCACTGCTATCGCGGCCCTACACTCCTTCCTTTATTTATCTGTTATTGTTTGTTTTGACCTTCAGTCATTGCCAGCCACTGTGTGGCCAACCCCGCTCTTTGTCCCCTTTTGCTTCCGGACCCTTCGGCCTCCGGCCCGGGTCCGCTTCCATTCATTTCTTCCTCCTATATATATCCTGTATGATACTTTATTGTACCTTAGCTCTAATATCGATGTGACCACGACCCCTAAGTCCTGACCCCAACAAGGCAACCCCAGTGAGTCTGAAATGAGGGCCAAGAGACAGCTAGGGGGCACAGCACTCCCTTTAGAGTTGCTGAGGCCAAATGCCCTACCCCCAGGCCTTGTCTGAGGCATCGCGGCCATCGTGGCCAATAGCGGCCCGCATCAGCGACCTTCGGTGCCGACTCCGGATCAGTGTCTAACAGGCAATTCACTTGCTTGCCCTGCAAGTCCACCTTTGGGCCTATCCCTCCTTTCCATTTCTGGGTTATCACCTGCCATTCTGCTAACCCATAACCTGACTTGTCGGTAATATTCAGTCAGCTGATGTTTAACCCCGTTAGCTCCGCTCTGCTCGGTCCTGCCATTCATGGGCCTGCCCTCACTGTAACTATATATACTTAACTTGTACATAGGTTACACCCCAGTGATAAAATCGACTAGAGTTGATCCCCTTAGTTCTCGTTGCCAGTAAGTAAATTAGGGCATGGACGTGTAACTTGGCACAGCACTCCTGGTCTGAGTCGCTGAGGCCGCAGCCCTCCTGTCAGGGACGTGTCCGGGGTCGAGAGGGCCCAGGTGTAACGCCCGGCACTGAGGCCGTCACGAGGTGTAGAGCAGGCATGTGTAGTGATGGGCCCAATCTGGGACGACGATCCCTGGCCACTCAGACTGAAGTGGGAACTGTGAGAAGAAGGTTACTTCTTCGGTTCCCACCCCAGGTACTTTTATGTACATGTGGCTTGGGTCACATGAGGTTTGCCACGTCATCCTGCATACAGCTGCAGTCATCCGGGTGTCCCCATGGGGGATCCCAAGGGTGTGTGCTGCACGTGTGCATGCTGGGTTGCACTGTGAGGCCATCCGGGTCGTCCGGGGCTGGGTGCGTCATGCATGCATCACAGGCAGGTCGATAATACATAGATAAGGGGAAATGTCGTCCATGTAGATAAAGATAGAAGAAAGAGCAAGAGAGTAAAAGAACAGAAGGACAAAAGGAAGAACAAGAAGTGAGAAACAATGGTGAAGGGTGAGGGGTGGAGGTGAGCAGGGTACTGGGTGAAGGCAGGTGGAGCCGGGTCAGGCGGGTGTGCCCTGACACCTCCACCACAGAGACAATTCCCTCGTCTCACTCCGGTCTCTAACAGTGTTGGAATATCAACGCTCATCGACAACAGCCAAGCTGCAGCGTGGATTGGGGAGTCTTTATTTTAACTTAATATCGTTGTGACTAACAACAACTATACCTTTTTCTTTCAGAGTTGCAGTACCATGCGCTCCCAATTTACTTTGTCTGTCAGGGCACAGCCCTTGACCCCACTCACCCTCAGACACCCTCACCCTTCTCCTAACCACCCTCTCTCCACATTTCCCCATTCCCCTTATCCTTCCCCCCACTGTCTCACATAATGACGCGCGCACGCGAACCCGTGGGAACGTTCTGGGCGAGCGACTCACCCAGAAATGTACAGCCACAACCGTGGGAACATTCTGGGCAAGCAGCTTGCCCAGAACTTTCCCATGGGTCACACCCGTTATGGAAAGTCGGCAGCAAGTGGGAACTGTATAGTTCCTAGGGTCCTTTTGTGTCGGCCTCACAGGGGGCTGAGAAGCTTACCCTTCTTCTCAGCTCATTCCCTGTGAAGGCTGAGGCCAGTCCCCTCAGCGACTTCGAGGAGTTAGCACCTGGGGAGAGTACCCCAGCTTCCACACCCGGCCTCGCCCTCCGGCCACTCCCAGCTGGGATCCGGATCCTGACATTGTCTTACATCGCCAGTTGTCACTGGCAATTGCTTTAAGCGATATTGGCTCCAGCCATATAAGTTACGCTGGACACCATAATTTTTCTCCCTCCTTCAGTTCTCCATTTCGAGACTGAGGTGATACCATTTCTTTCCTATCTGTGTTTGCGCATAACTCATAGTATTTTCATGTTATAGTTACGCGCGATAGTGTCAGGGCACAGCCCTGACCCCACACACCCTCAGACACCCTCTCCCCCTCCCTAACCACCCTTCCCCCATTTTTCCCCATTTTTCCCCCACTGTTCCACAATGGTACCGGTATGCGAACCCATGGGAACGTTCTGGGCGAGCTGCTCACCCAGAATCTTCCCACGGTACCTAATATGGAAACTCGGGAAAGACCCGACAACTGCACAGTTCCCAGGCTCCTTTTGTAGTGGCCTCACAGGGGGTCGAGAAGGTTACCCTTCTTCTCAACTCATTCCCTGTGAAGGCAAATGTAATTACTTATTTCCTGATGCACACCAACTCATTCCCTGTGAAGCCCAGGGCAAGTCCCCTCAGCGACTTTGAGGAATTAGTGGCTGGAGAAGACTCTCCAGTACCACTCCCGGACCTCATTGCTATGCCCCCTCTGGACGAAGGATGGACCCTGACAGATAGGTAAAAAATCTTAATACTAGTTCTCCATTTCAAGACTGAGTTACATGCAATAGCTCCTATTTTCATTAGGTTGTGATCCCAGCCATGGCCACCTCAAACGATAGTTCTAAGAATATTTACAACATCAAGAAATTAAAGAACGATGGTTGTAACTATTGAATGTGGTCTATTCACTGCTGCATGATTCTCATCGACAGAGCACTCTGGGAATTTGTCGATCCCAGTTCCAAAACCTCTGACAGACCTTCCTCATCTTCCTCCTCCCCATCGTCCTTTAGCTCTTCTGGCAAAGCGGCTGCTACTTCCCCTGATCCTGCTGTTGTCAAATGGGATAAGAAAAACAGCAACGCTCTCACCCAGATTGCACTCACCATTGAAGACACTCCTTTATCTATGATTGAAGGGAAAGACTTCACTAAAGAAGCCTGGGTTGCCCTGTTGAAACGTTACAATGGAGTTGGTGCACAAGATGCTGCTAGAGTGATGACTCAACTTCATCATTACCAACTAGACGATTCCAAACCTCTTGAGCCTCAGCTGATTGAGATGCAGGGACTTCGAGACCGACTGGCTAGTCTTGGTGATACTTATACTGATGCCAAGTTTGCTATGATAGTGTCCGAAGCACTACCAGAGTCGTATGATACCCTTAAGATGATAACGTTGGCGGATCTCAATGATGCATTGTCAGAGTTCACGCATCAGTTCGCGCATAAGAATCTCCCCAGGAAACTAGTCATTGTAAAAGCTGGGGAGCCAACCCAGCTGGCGATAAGGCCTTATATACACAAGTTCCACAACTCATAAGAGCGCAGCTACATTGGGAATACATGGTAGCCGATAGAGAAGCGACATGAGATAGGAGAATAGATCATGCGGATAAGAGGCGATAATGGGTAAGTGTCAGGGATCGCTCATCAGTCCGAGTCGAATATTGCCCAAAAACCTAGTCGTAGACAAAGCTGAGGTTCCAACCCTCAGCAGCAAATAGAGCTATATACATGAGTGACATCAATCAATCAGAAGAGATAGGATCAAAGGAACTAAACAATGATCCGATAGAAAACGAAGTGAATAGAGATGAAGGAACACTCGGATCAGGGGGCAGAGTCGGATCAGGAGAAGGTGAGGGATTTATGATATATGAGGGCCGATGCGGCTACATGCAGTGATATAGTCTTATGCGATATTGATAGGGTAACAGAGAACCGCTTATGCTATGTCCCCTGACAGTAAGGGATGACGTGATAGCAGAAATAGTGCATTGAATACAGCCTGCATTCTAACTACAGCAAATCACATGCAGATATCAGCTTACAGGTACTCAACTTATCCGGATAGGGGTCCGGGCCGGCTGGATAACCGTCTGTGCCCTGACATGCATCCACGATTGCCTGTGACAAACTCATCGCTCAGATTCTCCAAGAAGAGA